GGCCAGAGGCGGCGGGCCCCGGGCGGTGCCCGGGCGCGAGCAGGGGGGGGCGTCCGTACGTGCCAGAGGGCGATTCGCCGCCTGTCTCTCCTTTGCCCCCGCAGGGCTGGGCTGCCAAAGGGGGAGGAGCTTGGGGGCAGGTGACTTCCTCGACAACCCGCGCTTGATCTGAGAGGCGGGCAGGTGGGAGCCCCGTCCTGCCCTCCTCGCTCAGCTTCTGGTGGCGCCCCCGGACAACCCACCTCCAGCGAGAAAATGCATGGGGAGGAGGGGGGAGAGGATCACAGCGGCAGCGTCTTGCACGCGGAGGTGGCCGCGGTTCACCCCAAACGGGGCCGCGGTTGGAAGAATGGGCGGTTCCAACACCGAAGCTGCGTCTGCAAGGGCGTCCTGGCCGGCGGGGAAGAGCTGGCAAGGTGTAGGGAGCGTATGAGCTGGGAAGCACCGCGCCTGGAGAAATGGGTGGAGAAACTCAGTGGGAAATAGTCTTACGTACGGCCCTTTTGCCCGAGAGCAACTAACATCGTGGCACTGGAGTCAGAAGTCAGTCCCGCTCCGTATTACTCTCGAGGGCTTGCTCCCGGTGGTGTCAGGCTAAAGACGATAGAACATATCGAGGCAGGGCGGCTACATAAGCACCCTTGCAAAGTGCGGGGATATTTCACAGCCCGCTCTTTTGCATATTAACTCGGAAGTAAACGCCACTCCGTTCGAGAGATCTTACTTCCCGCGTAGAGCCGGCAAGCGACTGTTCGAGCTGGACGGAATAGATCCGATCCATCCGTATCGTTGCTATTCCGACCCAAACAGCGTTCGACTTACAGCATTCGAAAAATCAGTAGACCAGAGTTTCTGCACCATCTAAAGAGAGACTTTTTATTGAGATCTCACTTCCTTGATTTTGAGAACAAGCTGGTAGGTGGATAAAAGTTAAGCCTCCTTTCCAGTACAGCTAAGCTCACAGTAGCTTTTTAAAAGTCTTTCTTCTACACTGTTTAAGCTTTCAGTGTGGCATTAAAAGATTCATCACTTGATCTTCACAATGGTTTTGATAGTTAAACCAGCATTGCCTTACAACAAGATGGACCATCTCTGAATGCACGAGGGCTAGACTAAATATATTGGAGAGAGGGGCCAATGCTAACCGAGTGGGTAAGCCCATGTGCCATATGTCAAGGGCTGGGTTTGGGTAATGGATTTTAGAGGAGCTTCCTTGCTATATAACTGTGCTGTGATGCTTAAGCCTTTTGTTTTAATCAATTTTCCACCTCAGAAGGGTGGGAAATAGTGCCTTCAGTTGCAGCAGTCATGGTGTACAAAAACAGGACGTGGAGACTTGCAGGCAGCCTGATATTTTCTCTCCCCTTTCCTCCAACTATATATGAGGAAGACACCAGATTATAACAAATCTGGGGACAGGTGAAAAACATTGACTATTTATCAATGGCAGATTCTTCCCAGACAGAAGCTGAACACTTGTCCCAGTCACACATATCATAATGGAAACAGGAAAGGGCCTTAGCACATTCTTAAGGTTTCTTGGATCCATGGCTTTGAGACTGGCAAGGTAGTGCTAATTTAGCCACCCACGGAGAAGATAGCAGTGTTACTATATGTGTCATCTGGGCCTACTTGGACTCAGTTTGAACAGCCCTGCAGGCTACAGTATAATGAGACTCCTATGTTCTCCTGTACTGGGTCAACTTCCTTCTACTTATGATCTTCTAGTAATCCCCAGTGAGTGCAAGGAAACTATAATAGTTTGTTGTAAGCCGCCCAGAGTCCCCCGTTGTGGGGAGATGAGCGGGGACAAGTCAAATAAATAAAATAAATAAATAAATAAATATTTGTACTCCCTTGGGCTAGTATCTCCAGTTATGGGACAATGACAGCCTTTCTTATGATGCAGGAAATGGCATGTTGTAAGGATTGATTATTCAGCAATAAACTTGAATTTACTTGACAAGTAAGAAACTGAATGCCCTCAGTGCTGAAGCAAACCTATGATTTAAGGAATTTAAGTGAGAGCAGTAGAGTAAGATGTTCATAAACATCTTACCCCCTCCAAAATACAACAAAACATTTTCCACCCAAAACTTTAGAGAGGATTAAAAATACAAGAGATTCTAGTGATCTCATAGAAAATTCTATAAGCATTTATGTGGGAATACTGATCTCTGATGAGATTTTCATGTTCTGGTTCAACCTTTTGAGGATCATATATGAGACTTCACAAGATTTCACCCATGTTTTAGGGAAGGGGTACATGTGGTCATTATGTTAGAATGTGTAAGAACAATCAGGGTTGGAAAAGATTACTAGTCTCTTGTCTAAAAATATATTTCTCTGTCTTGAGAAGTAAACTTTAGATGGACTATTAATGTTGCCATCCATCCTGACCAGGATATCTGTAGCTAATGGGACATAGGACTTTAAAGGGCAAAAGCTCCCCTGTCTGCAAATTGGAATAACTTTCTTTTTTTAAAAAAAACATGTTTGTCTGAGCATAAAAGTGCTTTTCTTTGGGAACCCCTTTTGTCTTAAAGAATGTTATCTCTATTCATTTAGTTGAGAACAAATCCCACAGAATTTATATTACTTCTTAAGCTCTCCCTTTTGACTTGAGGTCTTGCCTTTACCTATTAGATCACATTCACAAGCACTTTATATAGGTAGGAAAAACAGTCTGAAAAAAAGAGTCTAGAACCAGGAAAATAACTTGAGGAAATATGTTGTATGCTGCATGAATAAACTGAAATAAAGTAGTAGATTTGTCCCATGTTTATTCAGAAATAAATCGCATTTCAGTTTATTAGGAACTTGCTTCCAAAAAGTGAACTTAGAACTTCTGTCCCTCAAATGATGGAAATAAGACATTTGGGTAAGTAAAACTTCCCTGCTTGATCATTATATATGACGAATGCTTTGCTAGTGAGCTTTTTGATTTAACACCGTATAAGGAATGCCATCCATCACTTGAGAACAAACTAGATGAAAGCCATCTTCCCCAGCTACAAATTTCACCATGAAGGAAATTTCCTATCAGAACAATGGCAGGATGCCACCATTCCATTTAGTTATTATCAGCAAAGAGATCATTGGGAGAAATTACTTTCTCCACAATGCCATGATATTGGATAGAATACAGGTAGCTCCAAGGGTTGTTCCTCCATCCATCACTACCCTAAGAGATGGGGCCTACCTGGTAAGGAAAATGGTGATTTCTGCCCCCCAACTATCCCCTGTAGTCTTACTGCTGCCACAGATATTATGTATAGTTTGACTTCAGTTGGCTTGCCCAGAATGTGGCTTGTTCTGGTAGGAATGGATAGCGGTGACAAACTACCTCATACAGAGATCGCTCCATCTTTATTTAATATGCTTCAGCTGTTCTTATTTTCTGACTCCCTAGTAAATAATGAACTTTATTTCTGCCTGGTTTTGAGGATGCACTGTTGTTAGTGAGCGTTGCCGAGATGGTCACTTTGGGGGATTCAGCACCTTTCCCAAGATCTGAAAGTTTAATCTCTGAGATGAACTGAATGCCTTTTGTCTCTAGCGCACATGCTCATAAAATGCTCAGCAGAAGCTAACCTGTCATTTCATTTACTAGTATTTTGAGTCTCTCTGGCTATTGCTGGGACATTAGATTAAGAAATAAACACTAATAACCCTGGGAGGAAGCTCTATAGATCTTATTTGTAATAATCCTGCATAGCCTAGTGTTACAAGCTTTCCCTTGCTAGGAGACCTAGCCCATGATAATTGTCTGCAGATCCCACAGACTAGGCTCTGATCAGGTGTGAAACGCTCTGGCCTCAGAACTGATTTGTAGTTTTAATAACTTGTCACTCTGGTCCAAACTAGCAGGATCAGCCCCGTAGTTGCTCTGCGCCACTGCCTTCACTCTTTGGTCCAGTCCTGAATATTACAGTTCCTCATTCCCTCAGACTCCTGCCTTGACCATAATATCCGTCTCCTGATATGTAAGGAAAAAAGAACAAATCCCGTCCCAAGGCCAGATGCATTTCTGACTATTTAAAATTAATTGAACTGGTATGTTTTTCTGTTGTGACAAACTAGATTTTTTTGTGACTCTGGCTATGCTAAGCAAGTGCGATCCTTTAAATGGTACTCTACTTTTTATTATACTATATAAAAAGTTAAATACATAATTTTAATGCCTCCCTATATATCCGCGTATACACACTCCTATTATAAAAGAGTAGAAAAGCAAAATAAAGTAAGATACAAGGGAACAACTGCTCTCGGAGGATTTTTGCCTATTTTTGTCTTTTATAGTTCTGTTTTTTTAAAACTTTTTTTCTAATATAAAGGAAATGCCCAACTAGACATTTGCCGTTAAATGTTCACTTTTATTTATACCATTAAAACATAGAGCTCTGTATTTTAATACTTGAATTGTTACATGTAATCCCACTTTGGGAAAAGTTACTTTGAGGAAAATTAGATGCACAGCAGTGTTTTTAAATAATTCAGTTTTACAATTTTAATGTATGTTGCTCATTTGTCCCTTTCTATTTCCTCTGAGTATTACAATCAATATTCCACAGCTCTCCAGTCTAAGCCATCATGCTACAGAGAAGTCTAGCTACAGCTATCAAGCAGACGTACCCCAGTCGTGCCATAAATAAAACCTGTAAATCTGGAATTTCAACGAAACTGATTTCCTAGAAACCTAGCTGAATGCATGCTTTTTATACATGCATCTTCAAAATAAATCCCATTTAATTTAGTGGGGCTTAATCCCAAGTGCTTAACCTTAAACTACGCTAAATTCAAAAGGAACATTGACCCAAGCATATCCTATATTAGATATCTTATACACCTTATATTTTTACCCCAAAGAGGGATTCACCTGGGTTAAAAAGTAATGTATATTTTAAATAGAGTATTTTGCTTTTCAGTAAGGACTTGAGAAGCAATAAAAGGATGGTTTCAGAGTGCTGGAATGATAAGGAATATTTGCTACGATATGAAAAGATCCAGAAAGTCAATGCTTATTGTTAGGCTCTCTGTTGATGATCTCTGGAGATCAGCCTAACTGTATCACAGGGAAAGAACTAGGAGTGCGCATTGGGTTTGGCTGAAGCTCAGACATGGAGCAGGATGATTTAGAACAGATATTCACTCCCTCCAGGCAGAACAGGTGTATCCCAACTCACTCTGGTTCCACAAAACCCTGCCCTGACTGACTGATCCAGAGGATTTTCCAAAGTAATGTTTCTGCAACCATCTCACCAGCAAGGAAAAAAATATTTCCCAATTCATATATAAAAGCGCCATAGAGGAGTATCTGCTTTATCCGAGCAATCAGGTTTTGTACGTAAGGATTTTTTTCCCCAAGATCTGTTATCTGGCCTTGAAGGTCATACTGCAGAACTACTGTATTTCCATAATGTTTAAGCTCTAAGGTTTCTGCAGGTGTTTGTTCCCTCCTTAATGCATTTTATCATCACTAAGTGAGCTCATCTGGGAATATGAAGTGGCTAGTGACACCCAGCTGTGTTTCTGTTTTTCATACTTTCAGCTGAAGTAGAGACAGTATAGTTCTTTAAAAGACTCCTTCCAGCATTCTCTCACTTCAGCTACATTCCAAATATTTCATCATTTTTATTTTTAATCCCATTCTCTCTGCTGGAAGCCTCTTCTTTAGCCCTCTTCACCCCCTGCCTAAAACATTATTTTTTAATTTCCATCAAATTGTTCTTCATTTTTTTCTGCCTTTTTTAATCTTAACTGTTCCTTGTTCTCTTGCACAATGTTTCTTACCACTATATTTCTTTTTTACATATCATTTTTCACCCTTGTTTTTCCTAGCGATCTTTCTTATACACATTTTTTCTTATTCATCATCCCACCCAGCCCCCTTTTTTTATTCTGCCATTAGCATA